TAATCCTTCTCCCCTGGAGGCAAGCGATACTGGTGGTTCCTTTTGCCTGTTCTTGAACTTCATCTGTGTGAAGTTCATACAGAGTTCATACAGAGACTGCATCCTCGTCCAGAGCCTAGCCTGCCGTCTGGCACGTGGCTGGTATGCAGTGTGAAAGGGAGCGTTTTCTTACTGCCCCGTGAGAGAGCATTGGCCCCACCGAGAGACCGAGGCTGTGGGTCTATTGACCTGCCCAGGACACAAGTCACGAGGTAGATCCTGGAGCCCAGCCCAGACTCCTTGATTCCGACTCTGCTTCCCTCAGGTAGCAGGGCTCCCAGTCCCTTCCTCAGCGCTCAGTGTGAGCACGCCTGGCAATCCTGGGCAGGTAGTGCCCCCTGCTGCCTACGGGGCCTGACCCAGACCCCTCCCTCCTCCGTGGGATGTGAGATTCAACGGGCAGTAGCCCCGTGCAGTGACTGGCAAAAGACAGGGCCTGGCGGAATAAAAGCCACATGCCCTTTTCTTTTCCTAGGAAGAGAAAAGAGGTTTCCTGAGCTTTGGGGGCTTTCCACCCCCAGAATGAACAGACTAAGGGAAAGAGAGGCCTCTTTGGTGGAGCGCTGCTGCCCCCAGGTGGACGGCTAAGGACACTACCACGGTGCAGGAAGTCCCGCTCACGCGTTTTGCGGGCGTTAGATTCTGGCCTCAGCTTTTAGGCCCCTGGCCTCCTGGTGTCCTGCGTTCCGGTATTCTGGTCTCTGAAAAGCAGACGTCATTCCGGGCCATCACTCATCACTCCGGCCTCGCCTGGAGTGGAGGCTTTCTCCGGAGAACCAGCCCCAGCTGTGTTTGTGGGACAGTCGTGGACCCCGCACCTCCTGGGCGGAGGTGGGCTGGACGTACGCGTTGAGGGCCTGTCCTGTATTAAGCAAGAGTTTAGGCGAGATCAAGGTTTGATCTTAGGGCTTGGTTCAGAGATGGGTGCAGGAGTGGGGCAGGGCAGGTCTCTCGGCAGTGGGGTGTGCAGCTCCTCTCCGCCCGCTGCGGGGCGGGGCTGCCACTCAGCGGAGGGGCTGTGGGGGTGGGGGTGGGGGTGGCGGGGTGGGGTGGGGGAGGGGGCTTCCTGTTGCACCTGCGGTTGGCGGTGTAACGGCACAGCCCGCCTGGCCTCGGCACGTGGCCTAGGGCGATGGTATCTCTAACTCAGTATTTTTAACTCCACTTTCCAGAGGATGTGGCTTTTGCGGGAGAGCTTCAAAGGGTGCCCTATTTGCCCCTCTTGGCAACGATGACGTCATGGAAATGGAAGGGGCCGTCCTGAGCCCCCAAACACCTGGAGGGAAGTGGGAGACTTTTTTCCACTTCCTGTCCTACTTCTGGCTACTGACTCAGTGTCTGACCTGTTTATTAATTTCAAAATGTAGCTCTACATGTGACAGAGGAAACCACACGCGTGTGCGTGTCTGGGCCAAGTGAAGCCTGGAAGTCAAGTGGCCTCACACAGAGGCTGAGCCCTGGGGTCCCGCGGTGTGGCCTCATCACCCGGGGTACTTTCTGACAGAATGACGGCCCTGGGTCTCCAGGCAGCTGGCTTTCCCAGGCCCACGCAGTGTTCCTGGAAGCAGATTGAAGAGGGGTGTTAAGTTAGGTCAGGGAGAAAGAGAGGTGGGATGGTGAGAGGACCTGCAGCTCTGGGCCTTGGCCTGGGCCCGCCTGGACGGAGCTCTGACTCCCGGAGGCCCTGTGTGTGCTTCCCCAGAAGAGCGGTCCTCCCGGCTGCTCTGGACGAGCCTGCGTGGGCGCTGCGCTGGCCCAGCCGCCATCACTGAGGTTTTACTTTTCCCAATAGCTCTCCATAGCTTACTCTTAGCTCTTGGCAAAACCGTAAAAGAGAGGCTCACCAGGCCACCTCTTTTAATCCCACTTTCTGTCTTCTCTCTTTGATTTATTGATTCTAGGGAGAGAAGAATGGGGTAGGGAGAGAGACACTGATTTGTTCTGGAGGCACCTCACTCAGTGCCTCCAGAAGCACGGCTTGCTTAGCCTGCCCTTATTTGTCATGCATGACTTATTTGTCATGCATTGTCTGGCTGTTTCTTGTGTGTGTCCTGACTTAGGGTCAAATTTTGTCCCATCAGGATGACACTCTTAACAACCTGAGCCCTCTGGCAGGACGACTGTCCCTTCTCTTGTGCTCCCCGGGGCCCGGCTTGGCTCCCTCCCCAGTGCCCAACCGCACTAATCATTGTTCATTCTTTCACTGGTTAAGTGTATATGTAGCATGTGCTGTGTGCCGGGCACTGTGCTAGGTGTGGCAGATGCATGGACGACTAAGGCACACTTCCCATCTCAAGTGCGCACAGTCTGGTGGAATTTCTTGCTGAGATGTAACCTGACAACTAAGGCGGTATCTGTAAAGGGCTTTACGTGTACCACTAGGGGAGTTAAATTCTACTGGCAAACCAATACAATAAACGATCCTTCGAGACCCAGATGGCCGCCTCTCCAAGGCTGGGCAGAGGGTCTGAAGACCTCACTCAGTGCCTCCAGAAGCACGGCTTGCTTAGCCTGCCCTTCTCTTGACTGGCCTGTACTTCCAGCTGTGCACAGAGGGCAGGCGTCTGGGTGAAGTGTCAGAGTGCCTTAGGCCTGTGTTCCATTCTTCTGCTTCCAGGCTGGCCTGAGGCTGAGCGTTCTGGGGCAGCAGCATTTCTGACCAGAGAAACCCATTCTGTAACTGGCCTTGGTGCTCGTACTCAGCTGGGGCGCAGCCTCCCCTCCTTGGAGCGGGTTTCTGCTCCCGGGATGTGAGGCTGTTCATGGTGGGGACTCTGTGTGGCCTTGGTGGCCGTGTCTTGGTTTCCTCAGCAACCTCTCCCCTCCAGGCTGAACAACGCCTGCTCCCTACTGCACTGAGGGGGCTCTGCAGACCCTCCCAGTGGCCACAGGACCCCTTCCCCCAGGCTTCCTCACAAGGCCGTTTTAATTCTCCTGGACATCCTCGGTGGGGCCTGGGGCCAGGCGTGAGAACAGAGTGGACTGAGCTGAGTGGCATCTCTGCACCACCCCCCTACCTGCCCCCCAGCACAGCCAGTCACTCCTGGCTTGCTTTCTGACTCGGCTTCAGACTAGAGGGAAAGTTCTTTCTGGGATGGAGGACACCTGGTTTGAGTTGGAAATTTCTTCAGGGGGCTGTGCTATGCCTGATGTCCAGAGGGCCTCCTGCCTGCCTGAGGCCTTGTTGACCTCCGCTCGGGTGGGACCTGGGTGGTCCTGGGTGGGTCACTGCCCCATCATTTCCTAGGTCCTCAGGTGCTTTGGAGTTCGGCGACCGTGGGGCTGGCCCCGCTCTGCAGGTCCCCTTGGCCCCTCCAGGGTCCTTGGAGGGGTCCATTTTTGTCCCTTTGACTGCCTTCCAGGGTCCCTGCCCCAAGCCCCTGGGTCCCCCTTCAGACTCAGTATCTTTGCGACCAGCTCTCACCTCCCGGCTACCTACTTGTCTTTTGCCTCCTGGTCTTAGTATACAGACCAAAGTGAAGTTTCGCTTTAGGAGGAGAAAAAGACAAACTAGTCTGTCCTGAGTTTTTAAGGGTTGGTAAACACTTTGCTCTGTGAGCCCCCCCAGGGGCATTTTCATTTAACTCGGGAAGAGGACTAATTACAGAAACCCCCAGTGGTGGAGTCTCTGGCATCGCGTCAGACTGAGGAGGAGGCAGCTTTGTGCTCCTCACGTGCAGGGGATCCTGCGTTTGGGAAGGAGGTTCCTGTCCTCCGCGTGAGGGAGCCGCTGCCATGGGATTTCTGTGGAGACCTTTCCTAGTAGTGATCTTTAAAGGGACTGGGATTTTGGCTGCCGGTGAAGCGGCTTGGAGAGAACTGGGGATGTGACTCTGCTCGGCAGGGCTGGCCAGGACACGGACGGCGCCTCTGAGCACCACAGCCGCCACCGAATCAGAGATGCATGGAGCTGGAGGCAGCCTCCAGGCCCAAGTGACCTTTTACAGGTGGTGAAGCGGGAGCTTATGGAGGGGAGGGCTGTGCTAGGTCACCTACTGAGCAGGCGGCTCTGTCCCTGTGAAAAGAAGCAGGCCTGTGTGGTAGCTGGAAGGATTTGCACGTTTCTGACTGATGCAGTCAGAGACCTGTGGGTGACCAAGGAGGTATTTGAGGACAGGATGCCCTCTGACCCCTGGGAACTGGCAAGCAGTAGGCTTTAGTGCCGATGGCAGTGATTGTGAGCGGGATGGTTGGGTGATCTCTGAGGGAGGTTCCTGTCAGCACCTGTGAGATGGGGAAAGGTGCTCGGGCAGCAGGCAGCTCAGGAGATTCCCGGGGCCCCAGGGAACCCACCTCCCGTCCCCCAGGGCTGGCTTGAGTCATCCACTCTCCTTGGCCTGGGCCCTGGGCTTGAGGGCGGAGAGCTAATTCCCCCTTTCCCATCCTCTTGTCTAGGATGGCGGGAGTGTAAAGTCTAGCTAGGGTCACAACCTCCCTCCCCAGCCCACCCCAGCCACTCCTGGACTGGACATCCCACGGGGCTGGGCACTGGGTTGGGACCAGCTGGTTAATGGGCCCCAGGCATGAATGTGTAGGGTTATGTGTAGTGCTTATTGGAATCCAGTCTGAAAGAAAAGACAAGGGAAATCCTTGGGGGGCGGGAGGCAGTGGGTGGCATTTGGGGGATGTTGCTGTGTGGTCCCTGTCTGCCAGATTTCAGCTACAGGTCGCTACCACCCATGCACACGGGCCTCCTGCCACAGTGGCCCGGCGGTGAGGCATGAAAACGGAAGAGCAGGGACGCAGGCTTTTAAGTGGGTTTGCCTGGGCCCCAGCACTGCCTTCCAAGTGGAATTTTTTAGCGGTTCTTCCAGGAGGAGGTTGACCTAAGCCGCCAGCTGAGTTATGCTCCCTGAATGTCATCGTGGGCTAATGTCTTGGTTCCCTTCTGCCCAGCTCGCGACCAGCAGCAGCAAGGCGAACGTGACCCGACCACACCCAGTGAGACAGGAGCACAGTGGGGCTCTTCCAGATCACTTTAATGAAGCGGGGCAGTAGCAGACGCGACACGGCTCACACACGCAGCACAGCAGGGCCTCGGTCGGGAGGCAGTTTCCCCCACACCTCGGGGGAAAGGGCGACATGCATTTCTTCATGAACACTATCTGAAAAGTACAAACAATATAAGCTCCTCACATTGTTCTCCAGGAGCCAAAACCCGAGAGAACCCCCCTGGTGATCCATCGCCCAGTGAGATGTCAGAGGCAGCCTCTGGAGGGGTGGGAGGTCCCACAGCCAGGAGGGGCTGCAGCAGCCCCTGCCTCCCCCAGGGACGTCGGGCAGTGACAAGCAGCAATGAGGGGACGGCAGGAGTGGCAGCAGTGTTTGACAGATCGTCAGCATCTTGATCGCAAATATCTGGGAGGATCTAGTCGGTGGCGTTGCCAGAGGGGCCGCAGATGCGAAGGGGGCCTCCTCCTCCTCCTTGGAGGCTGAGAGTGCACCTCTCTGCTTGACGGAGAGGCCAGTGGTGAGGAGCGAGCAGCGAGGAGCGTTGGGCTCTCACGTTCTCGGTGACCTGGGATGAGGAAGAACAGCAGTCAGGCTGGACAGTGGGGAGACAGACCCAGGACGGTTAGGGACGTGAGGGAGATGCCTCCCTTTGTGGGGTTCTGGGGGCGGACGCGCCCTGGGGTGCTTTCTGACGGTGGTGGAACGAGACGCAGTTGCCCGCAGGTTGCCCGGGGTGCAGGGGGAACGGTATGGAGACTGCAGCCAGGACCGGGTGTGATGAGTGTGGGGTCCTCTCAGTGTGTTGGAGGCACAGGACGTGAGGGAGGGAGCTGGGAGCCCCAGCGGATTTTTCGGGGGACGGCATACACCGGAAGGCAGGATAGAGGGTCCAGCAGGAGGCGTCAGTGTGAGCTGGGGTCCCGAATTGCTCCATTTTTTCACCCGTTAGTGTGTGGCTCTTGATGTTACTTATCCTCAGTTTCTTCATGTCCAAAATGAGGATAATAGAAATTGTTCATACTTTGTGGAGGAGACTTGACCCGACCAAGGTGACTGTTGTCACCCAGGAGAGGACTGTGCTGTACGGACATTGCAGGCCATTGTTATGAAGGGGCCTCCCGACAGGGAAGGGAGCAGGAGTCTGGTGAGCCCGGGCATATATGTGAACAAAAGAAGACCCCCGGGGCAGGTGTGCTTCCGGAGCACGGGGACCTCCCAGACCCTCACCCCCCACCTCCTCCGGCCAGGGTGCCCACCCACCTCAGCTGGACCACAGCCGCAGTGTCATGAGCACGTTGAAGCCGGCCACCTTCAGCAGCAGGATGCGGAACCCGATCACGGACAGGTTTTGGAAGTTCAGGTTTATGTCTGCAAAACCAAGAGGCCAACGTGGTTACAAGCATGCACACCTGAGGTCTGCACAGCACCCTGTGACATACCAAGGCTTTCCCGGAAGCAGGGTGGGGTGGGCTCCAGCACCTGGATCCCCCTCTCCCGTTGCACTTCTGTGCATGTTCCTTGGGCTCAGCAGTGCTTCACTTCCAAAGGAAAACACCCACCGCACTTAGTCCTTATTTTATTTCCGAGACCCTCAGCAGATAGGGACGAGGTGGGTGCTCAACACTTATTGCCATCCCTTGGGTCTGGGCCCCTTCGTGAGAAGCTAGTGGCTGAACCACAAGCGGGAGGATTCAAACACAGCTCAAGGGGAAACGAGTATGGGCCCAGGGTAGGTGGTGAGGAGTGGCGGGCACCCTTGAGAGACAAGGGCACCACCTCCATGAGTTCTGCTGCTTTTCTGGAAAGAAGGCAAAACCCCATGGCTATGGAGGGCACTGTCCTCAGGGCAACCTGGTTAGTTTAGGGCTATACGTAAGCTCGTAAACTAGTAAGCTCATGGAAATTTTATAGCCGCCCCCGCCCCCGCCCCCAGAAGCTCTTGTTGGCTCTCCTGGCAGTGGAATCACTGACAGGAGTACAGAAGCCTAGGAGTGAGCCATTGGCCGTGCAAAACTAGAGACTCAGAGATGACGAGAGGCCCCTGGGGATTCAGGAACGACTGCAGGCACCTGTGACCAGGGCTCAGACCGGTGCTCCCACCTCTCTCGTAACTTCACTCCCGGACCCACCAATTCCCTCCCACCTGCCCTGGCCAGGCAGGGTTGCTGAGGGTTCATTGCTCCCCAAAACCTGTACAAAACCAGGATAGACCCTTCTCTTACCTGTTTCAAAGCTTTTCTGTACCGACGTAACATCACAGGGAAATTCTAAAAGGAGAGAAAAAAAGAAATATCCTTAGAGTCTAGAGTGTGCTGAATCTCCCACTCCAGACCTCCTGAGGGCCAGGCAAGTGTGTGTCTGCAGCCTTCCAGCGCTTCATCGTGGAAGGGTCTGCAGTGAACTTGTCGCATAAGGGCCCTGGCCGGGGAGAGCCCCTGGCCCTGGCGCCATGACATTCATGAACACACACTGGTTGTGCAAAGTTTGTGTTACGTGGCACAGGCCAAAAGGAGCCACGAGACACAGACCATGCCTTTGGGCAGCTTCCTGGCTGGAGCCTGGTAAAGGCTAGAACACACACACAGTGACAAGTGCCATGAGGGGACAGACACTTTATGTATCCACAAAGTTTCCAACTCTGCATCCTGAATGTGTTCCTTGGTTTTCTCTACCTTGGTAAATGGCACTGTTGTTGACTCAGCTGCTCAGGCGTAAAACCCCAGCACCTCCCTTCACACCTTCTTCTCCTTCTCCTCCCTCCATGGTTCTGCCTTTGAGCCCCAACCAGTGTTGGCCACCCACTGCCCTGCGGCTGCCCTGGGCCGGCCCCCCTCCTCTCTCTGCTGCATTAGCTTCCTTTTGGCTCCCACTCTTGCCCCTGCAGTCCAATCCCCACTCAGCAGAATACTCTTTTAGAAAGTAGATTAGATGTCACTTCCCTGCTTAAAGCCAGATGATGGCTTCTCGCTGTAATTAGAACAGTACGTGCCCTCTCGGGACCTGGGGGGCCCTGTGATCTGGCCCTTGCCTACTTCTTCCCTCTCATTTCCTACTGCTCTTCCTCTTCTCACTAAGCTCCTGACTCAGGCCTCCACAGGGAGGCAGGGGGGACTAGGAGGAGGGATCTTGAAGGAGGGCATTAGGATGGGGCCTGGAAGAACAGTGAGGGGCAATCAGCTCAAGCAGGGGCTGGGAGGTGGGACTCAGGGTGGGTGAGGCTGAGAGCCAGTGCCTTCTCCCCCACCTTCTCCCCGTCCCTCTGCCCAGGACATCCTGTGGCCTGCCGGGACGGGACTTGCTGGTGCTCAGTAAGCAGAGGGTTAGGGGGCTTTGCTGACAATTGGTGAGGCAGAAGCCACCAGTCACTGCAGCATCTCGGTGCCAGGCCTCTGGCAGTGAAGAGACTCAGCTTGCAGAGGCTGCACTCACCTGAGCTGGAGTAGAAGGTCTCGTTGAAGGTGTCTTCACATCCAAAATCAGTGCTGTTGCTCCAGAGCAGGGCCCCATAGCTCTTGGAATGTGTGGACCTCATGTCCAGCACTGTGCTCTTTGAGCCGAATGCTGAGGAACCCGTGGCTTGGGGAACATCGGCGTTAGAATCAAAATCAGTGAACAGGCAGAGGGAAGTTCTGCTAGATCCAGGGCTTCTCAGCTGGTACACGGCAGGGTCAGGGTTCTTGACATCTGTGGACCAAACGGAGCTGGGTTAGGAGATGCTCGGTTCCCTCCTTGCCCCAACCCAGGCCTGAGTTCAGATGCCGGCGATGGGCAAGAGCGGAGCTCTGTGGGGCTGGGAAGTCATACTCTCAGGCTCTAGATGGGAAAGAGTATTCTAGAAACCGGCTGCTTATGACAGGCTGCAACTCAGGGACAGGCACAAGCTATGAGTCCTGGCCAAGAGGCCAGGCTCGTAGTGAACACTGCCTGCCATTCCCAGAAACCAGAAATGAAGACCCACTTAATGCCACTGCTCGTTCTACTCAGTGGGAACTTCAACAGCCCAGCAGGCCCAGTGAGCAACATAGCTCTGGCGGGACAAACCAGGCGTCGAAGGAAGGTCCAGCAAAGCTAACCACACATCTTGGAATCTGGGTTGGGCTCCCACACTTAGGGCATCGATGGGACCTGGAGGTTTATGATAGGCCGGAAGGAAGTCGGAAGATGGGTCACACCACCAGGAGATTTCTCCCATGTTTAACAGACTTGGACTGTAAGTCAGGACACCCCTGTCTGGGCCCTGGCTCCACCGTTTGCTAGAGACAAGGCCCAGACACAGGGGGCCGGTCACACCGCCCCTTACTTCCAGGGAGTTTCATCTGTGAAATGAAGATGTTGCCTCATCCGCTTTCCTAGCCAGGCTTTTCTGAGAAACAAATGAGACTTTCTCCATGTACAATTATATTTAATAAGCTGTGAAGTATTGAACAGATGTAAGTAATTGTAGCTGCTGACACTACCAGGATATTGCCACCGTAATGTGCTCCCGAGTAATACACAGTTTCTACTCTTCGCCCCCAGGAAGCTAAAGGCTTTTCCGCAGTGCTGAGAATCATTTTTCAGTATTGCTTCAGGGTTTTGTGTTTTTAACACAACTCTCATTGTTTATTCTTTCAGACCTCCTGCCTTCGGAGGGAGAAGCAGAGGTTTGCAAGGAGGGTTAACACGCTGGGGCCACCCAGAGAGTTACAGCAGGGCTGGGACTGCAGCTTCCTGCCCCTGCGGTTCTCCGCTCCCACGGCCCCTCGCCGTGCTCCTGGGGCCTCTCAGACTGGTGATGAGCCCCACTTGCTGAGCCAGCCAGGGTGGCCCTGGCGAGGCAGACATCCAGCTGGGCCCCAGAACTTGGGCAGTCAGCCCTTGGCGTGGGCTTGGGATGCTGCTGAATCCAGGCAGAACTGCCTGCTGGTGGGGCGACCCCTGGAGCAGCAGAGCAGAGTGGGTCCGTGGCCACTTGTAAGGGACTCCAAGTCATTGGCCCCTGAGGATTCTGCCGGCTCGCCTCCAGTCTCCACATACTGTGGGGCCTGGCAGCACTGTGGGTTAAGGTCCCATGACGCAAATCTTTTACCGGGAGGGGAGGGATGGGAAACCATCAGCACCAAAAACACACCCCAGTGGATTTTCCAGTCATCAGTGAGAGTCATGGGTGGGACTGGGAAGAGGGACATGGAAGGGTGGGGAGATGTTGGGAGAATGTGGCCTCAAAAAGCAGGCAGAGGACAAGCTGCCACCAGACGCAGTTTGGCCTTTAAGGGGGGCTGGGGGTGGCTGTGGGGGCCAGATGTCCAACTCTGAGTCCGGGCTAAACACTCACCTACGTCCTAGAGCCAGTGGGTATCAGACTGGTGAAGGTCAGGACCACACTGTCCAATATGATAGTCTTTAGCTACATGTGGCTATTTAAATTTAACCAAAATTAAATAAACGTAAAAATTCAATTAAAAACTGGAACTTCATTTTAAGAGGTCAGTGACCCCACGAGGCCGCGGCTGCTGTGTTGGGCAGGGCAGACGCTGGAACGGCGCCACTGGCCCGGGAAGTGCTGCCGGGCGGCGCTGCTCTGCAGAGACCAAGGCCCCGGAACACGAGGCTTTGGGGAAAGACAACGAGGGCCGAGTGTGAGGCTTACAAGCCCTTCTTAGGTTTGTGAGCAGTGACTACAACCGGGGGCAGACTACCAGCTCAGCTTTGCTAATGGGAGATCATTACAAAATAGCAATAAATGAAGTCAGATGAATTGAGGTGATTTTCAGCTTTTTTCACATCCTGTTTTTACCGGCTCCGAGACCCCCTTTGGGTTTTCCTGTCCGCATTTCTGCTGCTGTTTCTCCTGTCCGGCTTCCCCACCTCCACTTTCCTCTCTTGCTCGTCTGCTCCCTCTGCCCCACTTCTCAATCTCCTCTTTGAGCTCATCTTCCAAAGTATCAATACTCGCCTAAAACATGGAGCCGATTGGGTCACTGTCTGTGCTAAATAATTCAGAGACTCCCTAGTGACTGGAGAGGAACGACCAAACTTCCTGGCATCACTTGCAGGGTCTGCCATGACCTTGAATTCTCTCTCTCACGTCCTTTCCACGCCCTGGAAGAGCACAGCTGCACCGGGCTCTCCAGATGCCCTCCCTGGGATGTCGGCTGTGTGGCCACAAAGTCCACCCCTGCTGTACTGCCTGTCCTCGTATCCGCCACACACTAGGTGGTCGAGAAACAATTGTTGAGTAAACGCATGGGCCAGTGGCCAGCATTTTTGCCAAATTTCTGCTTTTTGGTTAGAGAAGCTGGGCATTCATCCCTAAACTTGGATTTTTAGCCCCATTTTACTATTACCCCCACGTGCCTCTGGCGCGACATTAATAGCTTTGTCTAAAAACAGGAAGTGAGTCACTTTTAAGCTGCAGCACTTTAGGGGTCTCTCTGCCTGGGGGAGAGAAGCCTACCAAGATAAACGCGTCCTGCCACTCGTGATATCTTCCAAGGTAGCTTTAGCAAGACTGAATCAACTTTCCAGTGTGGAAGTTCAGCTGTTCCAGATCCTGACCTTTCGTTTTAACTCAGAACTAACCACAAAAGCACATGTCCCAAAGCTCCAGTGCTTCCGATTCCCAGGGCCCCAGCAGGGATTGAACGCTCCCTTCCCACCAAATCTGTGCCTTGTAGCCAGACGCTAGGAACCCAGCAGTGTGAGTTAGGGGAACGGATGCTGAGTCCCACCGAGGCCCCGGTGAGCGCTAGGAAACAGTTACACTGCTCGGGAAGGCTTACCGGGAATAATGGAAACTCTGGTACCTTTGCCAAAGTGCAGGCCGGAGGCAGCACCGCCGTACCACTCCCAGTGTCTCCATTACAGAAACCTCGGGTTTCTCCTCCTCTGAGGAATGGGGTAACTCCTCTTACAGCCCACTGAGGAAGGAGAGGGAGGCCCCTAAGGCCATGAGCTGTCTGTCCATGGAAAGAGCTCATCCCTCACCGTCCCATCCCATCTGCATTTCTAAGTTGGATTCCCAGTTTCCCGGTGGCTGGCCGTGGCCTTGACTGTCTGTATTCTCTTGAAGGCTCTAGGACTCCTTTTCTTCATCATTTAAGAAGACAGCTTGCCTTTCTCTCCATCCTACTTGATTATTAGATGTGTTTACTTAGGCTTAAATACATGGATCTCTTTTATTCTCAAGATTACGTGTTCTTTCTCGCTGCTCTTTGTGCTGGGAACCCCCTTTCTCTCCTTTCTTTGTTCATACAGATCTTATCCTCCTTTCAGGCTCAATGAGCACTTTCTACTGCGTCAAACCTTTTCTGTCGAGGTCACCTTTACAGCCAGGACCCTGTGCCTCTGAATCTCTAATGTACCTATTGCCATCATCAATTGCTTAGTACTAAAATAGTCCGTAGGTAGCTGAATTTATAATCATCCTGTACCTTTTGCTAGTTTTTATACTATGTGGGGACAGGTCAGGAATCTATCTTAGATTTCTTCATACGCAATCTAACTTTTTATAGAGTGATGGCCACATGGAAGGCATTTAAAAATATCCATTGGACACTTAGAGTTAAATTTTAATGTGCTCGACTTCGAGAAACACAGATTTTAAAGATTGATAATGACTCCTTCTCCCTTCACAGAGGTCTCTGCAAGACAGTTAGTTATAGCACCCACAGTTGGCCTCACCGTAGTCACACCCCCAGTATCTCCCCGGGAAGGATTCAGGACACTGGCCCACGGGGCTGCACACGGCACCTCCTGGGATGACTCACCAGATATTATGGACACTTGGGTTCCTTTCCCAAATGTGAGTTTACCAGCCATTCCTCCGCTATGCACACCGCAGGTGACACCATTACAGAAACTCACTGGTCCTACCTTCTACTTCAATGGTCAGAGCACTGACTTCTCACAAGGACTGGGGAATCACACCCTTTTGAGCCAGGCCTTCTGTTCTTTTGTGTTGAGATTTTGTCTCTGGCGGGTTTACTCCTCTTCCTCCTGCCCCATCCTGCGGTAGTGCCCTGGGCTGGACGTTGTGATTTCAGTAAACCAAGAATTTAGCAGAGTGGAGCCCCTGCTCAGGGCAGCAGTGTCCTGGACCCTCTGGTGGAGGCTTCAAGACCACTTGTTCATTACCATGATTCTAAAGGTCTCAGCCCAAGGATGTTTCTGGGGCACTGAGTGCCAGATGGGAGGACATTTGAGCGATGAGTGGAAAGAACCATTTGGCATCCTACAGAAGAAAATACCTGAGCGCAACTCAGCATCTTGGACAAAGAAGAATTAGTTGTCAATGTCCACCCTTGCCCCATTCTACTTACTTGGCTGGACACTCACTCTGGTCCCTGCTCCAAAGATGAGCTTGTCAGCACTGGTATACCCTCACTACAAGTAAGGTCTTTGCATTAACCTTCCTGATGCTAATCTGCTGAACCCCCCGCCCCCCAGTATCTGAGAGCACCATCCTAAAAGTCTCCCTGGGGCTTTGTTTCTTAGACCTCCGATTTCCCAGAGACGCTGTTCCCCTTTCCTGTTATACTAATATAAGCTTTAGTACAGCAAAATCTCAATAATAATAATAATAATAACAACAACAACAACTTAGAAAAGCTACCACTTATTGATTACTTGCTATATACCATGTGTTGTCTCATATTATTATGATGTGGTTGTAGTCATTTTGCTCTTAAGGAAGAGGAGACTAT